AGATAGATAGATAGATAGATAGATAGATAGATAGATAGATAGATAGATAGATAGATAGATAGATAGATAGATAGATAGATAGATAGATAGATAGATAGATAGATAGATAGATAGATATATAGATAGATAGATAGATAGATAGATAGATAGATAGATAGATAGATAGATATAAGATAGATAGATAGATAGATAGATAGATAGATAGATAGATAGATAGATAGATAGATAGATAGATAGATAGATAGATAGATAGATAGATAGATAGATAGATAGATAGATAGATAGATAGATAGATAGATAGATAGATAAGATAGATAGATAGATAGATATAGATAGATAGATAGATAGATAGATAGATAGATAGATAGATAGATAGATAGATAGATAGATAGATAGATAGATAGATAGATAGATAGATAGATAGATAGATAGATAGATAGATAGATAGATAGATAGATAGATAGATAGATAGATAGATAGATAGATAGATAGATAGATAGATAGATAGATAGAAATGAGTAGTACACTCCATAAAAACCCTTCAGTACATCTTGTCCAAGTTGTTCCCATACAATAATGGCTTTGTAAGAGAGTAAGTAAGACCATGAACACTATGGAAACCGAAATTTTAGAGACATTGCTAGACATTCCTGCGATCGAACATCTTTTATCTTAAGTTGAATTGATAAACACCAATAGATTTAACAGAAATGTGTAAATATTTATTATTATGTGTTATTTTATAAATACATAATACGAATCACACACTTCTGGTCCTACCGCGTCCGGTGCAAAGGGATTTATGAAATTTTCATCGATTTTAAACAAATTTGAAAAAAAAAAAAACTATTTAATGCAGCCACTCTAACATTGGAAGATGTTCTAGTAGTCGTCACAGTGTGTTAACTTTAATGTCATTTCTTATCTTCAAATAGTTCAACATCAATTACACATCGTCTTTTTTTAAATTTCAATATATAGTTTTTTTATTTTTTGCTTTTTTAATAATAAAAAACATTTTCTTAAGTAGTCATTTTTATTATTTATTATCGCCTTAAAAAACTCTTCGCCGCTACTCAGTCTCAGTCTGAAACTTAAACTTAGTTTTAAGTTGCTGTCTGTCCGTCATCGGCTTTACTTCGACATTTGCCTTGTTCATGCACAGTCTGTCTCATTTAGTTAATAATAATGCACGATGCATGCATAGTTTAATTCAAGCAGTAAAATGCAATAGCAACAACAACAGCAGCAAAACTATAACGGTTATTTTATGTCAGCCATATTTGCTGATAACGAAGTGACTATGTATGCCTATATGTAATGTATGAATGTAATTACAATAACATTATTCATGTTATTTTGTATCTACAACATGATTTTAATGTTGTTTTCTTTTAGTATTTTTTTATGTTGGCACCAGTAGCCAACTTCAACAATCGTTCGTACTTGTCACTTTGTTTTCTCCATATAACTTGAAGAGGTTTCTTTTTATTCCAAATTCGCCTTTTTGTTGTTGTTGTTGTTATTGTATACTAACTTTAGATGTCGTCCCTTTTTTATCTGAAACGAATACATTGTTCCATTGGGTGCAATATTTTTTTGTTGCTATAAAAGTCATGTGGATGTGGGTATTTTAAAGTATGTATTTATGTATATACATATGTATGTACTGAAATATATCCAAAAACTGTCCTACACAAGAACGATTTTGTAAATATAATCCAGAGATTCAGAAATAATATCATTTTCATTATTTGAGAATATCGTTTTCAAGCGGAATTGTTATTTTAACCGCGTAAGAGATATTCAAGGCATCTCTTGTTCAGGCTAACAGTCTTTGTGCGAGAACCCAGCCTTAACAGATCATTCCTACATTGACTGACCAAAACTGATGTAGTGCTATAATAATTAAATGAAATAAGCGCTGTCTAGCTGTAGACAGCTTTCAATATTGCAAAAATTACATTTATTTGGAAGATAATGATAAATTATTTTCCGAAGTTATTCGCTGAAGATCCTATATCCAACACCTGGGGACAGCTGGATT